AGTAAAGTTTTCGAGGGTTGATGTTATAATTTTCTGTGATAGGAACTGCAACCAATTTAGGTTTTTTTTTTTTTTAGTGGGAAAATCTTCGAATGACTGCTCCCACCTGGGTGAAGCCGGAGAGAGTGTCAGACTCTTACTGACTAAAAACCACCCCGTTCCTTCTCCTGCACGTCGGGCCGGTACGGGGGCATTGTTTTTAGTTACGGCAATAACAATTTGTCAGGCTTAGTTCTGTAGCGCAACATTTATTTTTTGGACCAAAACTTTAGCTTATGTGTTTTTCCACAACATAATCGACCCCTGCTCGATATTTCATCCCGATCACTTCAGCGGTTTTGAAGAGATTGAGTAACAAACATTACCCCCTAATTCATAAATTCACAAATTTTCACATAATTGTAATATTATATTACAACATAGTAAGCTTAATAGGAGTTCTAGGTTTAGGTAGTGTTTGGGTCTGTGGACAGCGAGCACGGGTGACTCCCCGTCCGACCAGAAGCAGGCCCGAGCATACGGCGCGTTGCGTTCCGCGCGCCTCAAGGAGCCATCAGACCACCACAGATGGGTCCCAACAGGGCTGATGCCGATATGGAGCCGCGGAAAACTTAACGGGTTGCTGGGGCTCCGGTTCGAAGTGCAGGAGTAGGAACGGGGTGGTTTTAAGTCAGTAAGAATCTGACACTCCCTCCCGCCTCGCCCAGGCGGGAGAAGTCATTGGATGATTTTCCCCCGCAAAAAAAAGAAAGTTTAAGTAGTGTTTAGATTTGAAAACGTTTTTACGACACCGGAGAATATTTACCGTCTCAAAAGTGCATTTATTAATTACGATTTACAATGAATTTCCACCATTTTATAAAATTAATAAAAAAAGGAACCTATGTAACTACTTCACACAGGACAATTAAAGAAATAATAACTTTTAATCGTCTGGTATTGTTTAAGTGGCTGTTCACTTGAAACAACCTAGAATTACGTCGTATATTGAAATTACCGCAATTACAGATAGTACCTCGTTGAAAACGTAATTGTATGATGGAAACAATGCTGTAACTGTAGGGTTATTTTTCAGTTATTGTGACACTGCAGTTTTTACCTAATTGGGTGATATAGGGTTGCTTTTACTTTCTAATTAGAACTTTAAATAAGTTTAAGGAGTTTTATTTATAAAATTGCATGATTATTTTGTTTGAAATGCTTATGCTAAATGTTTATAGATATATAAAATAACTTTTATTTTTCTGATGATAGCCTTTGGGTAAAGTAAGGACCGAGAAACTAGTGTCAAAACATTGGGCATTTATTTTAACTTCCAACTTATATTTTATCTCACAAACCATTGTATTCAAAATCTTTTAATGGCTACTTTACCAAGTTCTTATCAATTGTTTTCGTAACAAAATCGTTACACTGAAATGGCTTAAGTGATCATTAAAAAAATTGTGGTGGCTTGGAGGTCTAAGACACCCGCTTCTCATACATGAGGGTTCGAAACCTACCAACAGCAAGTACCAATGTGACTTTTCCAAATCATATATAGTACTTTCTATTTTATTTATTTTTTTATTTTATTTTTTTTATGACAGAAAACTCAACAGCTTATTTAAAATGATTTAGACATCACTGACAAATGGTAAAGGAAAACATCGTGAGGAAACCTGGACTTGTAATTTCTTATTATAAGTTTGAAATCGCCAACCCTCATTGAACAAGCGTGGTTATTACATTGTTTCGTCGTGTGAGTGAGGTTACCGGAGGCCCATTTACCCTCCCCTTCCCCAATCTCCCCAATCCCTGAATCCCCAACGATCCTCAAACTCCTAATCTCCAAAAAGCCGGTAACGCACTTGTAACGCCCCTGGTGTTTCAGGTGTCCGTGGGCGACGCCGATTGCTCACCATCAGGTGATCCGTCTGCCCGTTAACCGGTATATGCCATAAAAAATCAAATATATCCGAGTACGATTTTTTTTTTTGTAAGGGGGAAAATCTTCGAATGACTGCTCCCACCTGGGATCCGAGTACGATAGTAAGAAACAAAACTCAACATTTTCTTAATTTTTTGTACTTTTTCTTGTATTTTGTGATAGAAATAATACACGCGTGTAAATATCAAGTCCGCATAATCACGACTGGTCAGTAGAAACTTACGAGGCGGGCGCAGCCGCGTCTAAAGTGCATTCTCTGCATTCAGTGAATGCGTACATATATGTAGTATATTACTGTACTGATATATATCCCTACATACTTAGAATTCACAATACGCAACTAAATAAACAAGGCAATCTCCAACCTCAATAATCCCTTTTCTAGCCAAACAACGTGCTAAACAATTTCACGACCACTAGACAAACTTGGCAGCCTCATAGCATTATGTAACAACTTTCACTGTATATTACATTTTGGTGAAATCTAAATCGTTTTCCTATAACCTTGAGGTGCTCGTTGCTGTAAATTGCGTCTCTAAGGCAGCATGTCACGATCCATGTAGACTGGTGTTGGTGCAAACATGGATTTGTTTTCGTTTTATTCAGGATTTTGTTGCAAGCTTTCGGTTCAATTTAAAGTTTGAATTTCGGTGGTAGTTCTATGATTGGTGTTACGTTCGTTATGAGTTCAATTGAACTGTGAAACATGGAGTTAAGAATTGAAGTATCAGACAATATCTTATTGATGTTTTATTTGTCTTTGGGTTTTTTAACTTTAATATGGAGTTTTATTCATATATCCAACTTGTGGATTGCCTCGTTGCAAGTGCGTTTGGTAGACAAGGTGTCTCCGGTTCGATTCCCGGATTGGACAAAATATTACTGGGTATTTTTTTTTTCAAATTTCATTAGTAGCACGGTGTCTGAAATTGTACCCAGTATATGGCAATAGAGTAACCCCTACTCACTCATAACACAAATAGTGAAAAGTGTGTGTTACATTGTACAGTGGCATTAAGTACTGTAATGTGTACCTCTGCCTACCCCTTTGGGGATAAAAAGCATTGTCATGTTATGTCTAACCTGTACAGTATATAATAAATACAATTACCATATATCAGGAACACAGTTACGAGTCAAAGTAATCTTTTACTTAATACTGTTATTATTTATCGTATAGCCAGTACACAAAGACAACCTTTCCCACTAAACATTCCAAAATATCTTGAAACATCAAAGAACTCAACTTTATCTAATTTACTCTTAATATCATTTTCTTCTTTGAAGTGGATCGCAGATGCCTCATAACTCTATGATGATAAATTACAGTAATCATTCCAGACATTTTCCGGCAATCTATTTTCTTCAGACGAGTTCGTTCGCGATGACAGGTGATGACGAAGTACCGGAGTACCGGTAATACACTTTATATCCCACTACCCTTGAAATCATTCGGATGGAATATTGAATAGAGTTTTCTTTTTACTGGGATGTTAGTTCTGAGAAATGGAAAGAGATGTGACTTCTGTTTTATTGAATGAAGTACTTTTTACTTGAAATGTTTAGATATATTTCATTTTAGTTGTTAATGGTGTATTCGGAACAAAATCTTATGTTTCTTGATGTTCAAAACTATATTACTTACTAGACGGTATAAAATAATAATTAATTTAATACTTTCTTTAACAAGAATGTATTGTTTAGAAAGTTTAAATATTGAAAATGTGTATTGGTACGTGGAACATCAAAAAATAAGAAGTCAATATCTTTATAAATGTTAACATAAATAACACTAATTTAAACCACAGAAATACGGAACTTATAAAACACGTTTTCATATAAACAAAATACAAATACAAAAATATTCCGAGTAAAGCAAATACAAACATATCACTCACATTTCAAACAAAACAGAGGTGAATACCGAAAGAGATCAAAAAATTCCTCAAGGATCACACCAGTGTCCCAACATTCATAGAATATTAGTTTCTGGGACCCTCACAAAATGCCAAAAGCCTCGCACTATAAGAAAAGGCAAGGATGCTGAATTATCCTTACTCTGTGAGACAATACAATTATGTCCGACAGTAAGACCCTCCTAAACCCTTCCTCCATACTCCTGTTCACAACACCGAAAGAAAACAAGTGTTGTGGATTTATCAAACAAAATATTATCTTGACGGTTTGTAAATAAAGTTTATTCTTGATTGTAGCACTTTTTTAACGTTGCCATTTTTTGTCGTTCTGCTGGGTGATATAAGGCGTTTTGGGATTTCTTTGTATTTGATGTTTTAGGTCTTGTTTTGTATAAAGATGTAATTTTGGTAGACCTTTTGTGTCACTAAGAATAGTGTGTCGAGGAATGTAACCCTATTTTTAAGATAGAAAAGACTAAAATGCGAAAAAGACTATTGTAAGAAAAATTGGAAGGTGGAAGCAAATATCTTGTTATTTTTCTCATTCACCTGCACTGTTGTGAGAATGACATCACAGTTCGTGACTGTTGCTCGTGTAATTCTATTACCAGTTATTTCTGTTATCTGTAGAATATCCGCTTCTGGGTTATGTCCCATTTTGGTCATTGCATTGATCAAATGTTCTACAAACACAACAGCTTTGCAATGGAAGCGTTAGGCTTTTAATTGTTATTTCCGTGCTACTATTAAACATATTGAAGTTGGATAGTTGTACTTTCACTGGCTGTATTCTATAGGACTCAAAAAATCCCCTAGTAGGCAGTCGCGGAGAACCTAACGGGTAACCGGGGCTTCGACTCGACGTGCAGGAGAAGAAACGGGGTGGTTTTTAATCAGTAAGAGTCTGACACTCCCTCCCGCCTCACCCAGACGGGAGCAGTCATTCGATGGTCTTCCCCCCTTAAAAAAGGCAAGGCAAGCAGAAAATAACTTTAAATATTAGTTATGAGGCCCATGAATTTACCAAAGACCTAATATTTTTCTAAACTTTCAGCTGATCTCTTATCTTCTCAGATATTTTACTATCATTAAATGAAGTTATTTGTGTTGTTCCAGGCACTTCATTGGCATGTGACGCGGGTGCAGTGAGCGGCATGCGAGGCGAGCGCTCGAAGCGGGCGGCCGGCTCGCTCGCCGCGCTCGCGACGCTCCTAGCACTCAGCTTGCCTCAACTTGGATATGCTGAACTTACATCTAACGGTGAGTTACACAGATTTCAGCCTGAATATGGTTGATATTTTGATTAAGTTTATTCTTGGCGATTATAAACTAATATTACTCTAAATGAAAAACGAAGGAAATCATGTTTTCTTTGGTTTAAAGATGTATTCACAAATCTTAATGCAAAATTTGCGCTTATAAATAGCTTATCACTCTGACACATTTTAATGAGTATTTTGTCTTTTGAGCGCCAAATTGTTATAATTATGTATGTATTTTTATACCTTCATAAAATGGTTGTGAGTAGTCGCAAAGCTCCTTGATAAGTAACCACTTTCATTTAGCTACCTTCACATACCTGGTCACAAAATGAAATTATTTGCTCTGTTATTCCATTTCATTTGATTGAGCCCTTCTTATGCCTTTGTGACTAAGCTTTTAGTCCCTAAAGTATTATTATAATGTGATTTGTACTTTGATATTCGGGTCTTTGATTAGAATGAACGGCTACCACCTGACAGGTGATTATATATATACCATGCAAAAGGGATTTCGTTTGTCGTAGATTTGTACCAGGCTTTTGAGGCTCAATGCTAAGTTGGTTGGGCTGGTGTATAGTATATGGCTTTGCTGTCAATGTTTTGTGTTAAGGGACTAAATAAAGTATTATTAGGGTTTTCTAAGATTGCTGTATGACGATTTATATACTCTGCTGTTTGCTTTTGATCATGCAATAATAATACATTTTTTATCTGCTGATTCTATTGCATGAAAATTTGAAGTTGCTTCCATTTTTATTCGGGTTGTTTGTCTTCGTAACATTTTATTTGATAAATGTTATTAAAAAACTGTAAAAATTATTATTTGTCATATATTCAATCTCACAGACAAATAGTACCACAGTTATAGGAAATAGAAAGCCTCACAAAACAATTAGGTCACAAAAATAGAAACCTTAATTGTACAAACCAATCACGGCAACAAACTAATAGAGAAGTTCAATGATCACTTGATTGAAGTAATCACGACATCAGTACTCGAGTTTTATCGGACACCAAAATGTAGGTATCGATAAAACGAATTAGGTGTTAGGCACATCACTGTTCGTTAGTGAGTAAGTGCTTGCAGTAGCTAAATAGGGATCGAATGAACCTCTTTTATGGATAGACATACATTAAAGTTGTCGATTGTCTACACAGTGTTGTAGTAAAACTTTATTTATTCATGTAGGTGAATGTTGTTATATAAACTAGAGTATAACTAGGTAGTTTTGTTAATATTTTGAGCGAACTTTTCTAGTGAAAGTTTAATCTTGGTTGTAATTTTAAATGTGAATTTTCTGCGCAGTAATAAAAATGACTGACTCAGGAAAAACATCTCGTAAGATTTTCCGGAATAAACTTTTTGAATAAAAACTTTAGTTGTTCGAACTTCGAACTATAGTGTTTTAACACATTTTTTTAGAACATCAAACCCATATAAAAAACGTAGTACATATTAAAAACATCACTTTAATTAAAAGCATTATGAAATATTCATACAAAAAGCGACATAAATTATAATTCTAGCGTATTAACGCGAAATAATTTCTGAAGCTAATGACAATTGGGGCTATTAGCCTCATGGCATGGCACCATGTAATCAATAGCTAGTGCAATGAACTGCAATGCAGTCACTGAACGTTTACCTTCAAATAGGCATATACATACATAATGTACTAACATTATATTTCCTAGCCAGTGCACGATTGAGTCGTACTACCGTTTATTATTTAATTCTTATTAAACTGTCAAACACCAAGCGGTCACCGGTGACCGCGACCTATTGTTCTTTAATTGTGTCTATAAAACCGGTACTCGACGAGTTAATCGTCGATTCATTCTTTGTAGTTTTTTATTCGAAGAATGGCTTAATGAAAGAGTGTGGTTTATAGAACAGTATTGTTATTGTACGTTCGCATGAGGCGGTATTCCAAGATTTTCAAAGAAGTAGAACGAAAACACGTTAAGAAGATTTTGATGTATCCAAGATGATGATGTCACGTCATTATAGTATAGGTATTTAAATGTTCACGTACATATTCTATCCTTGTATAAGTACCATTAATCAACGTTTCATATACGAAGTCTTGTTTTTATCTCACTTAAAAATCATTTTGCCTAAAATTGCTACATTTTGATCCTCCTTCAAAATGCTTTGTAATACTCGGGGTCATAATTCCTAATAAAAATTACGTCTCCGACACCTATGCAAAAAATTAAAACAAATAATTGATAAAGTTCAACATTATATTTATTTAGATAATTCTCCTATTTAGGTAGTCTTCTTTCAGTAAGTCATTTGTCTTCTTCTTCTCCTGTTTCAGACCCATTAAGACGGGGTCTATACGGTGACCTGTGCTCCACAATAGAGGACTGTCACTTTCCGGACGCGATATGTGACGACGTTCAGAAGACATGCCACTGCCACCCTGACGTGCCAATCAGCAACTACAAGGACAAATGTGGGAAACGTAAGTTTATTTAATTATTTATTATACACTAGCAAACCCGGCAAACTCCGTTTAGCCACCAGATGGATTTCGTAACATTTCGTTTGGTGATTAAAAAATGAAGAAAATTTTTTTGTTTTATATACGCTATAAACCTCACGGCGCCCGAGAACTTACCAACGAATGCAAAACCGTCGAAATCGGTTCGTGCGTTCTGGAGTTATAGCGTCAGGAAGGAAAACCCGACTTATTTTTATATTATACATATATGACTCAATATTATTGATCACAAAATAGTTTCACTATAATAAAATAAAAGCTATTATAAGAATCATATAACGTTCCTCTTTCCGCAATTCGTTCTTACTAACCCTCAGATGAATAGGAACTTTTATTTTAAACTGGCTCCTCCCGCGTGGTTTCAAGCTCTCTATTCGGCTTCTATTTATCGTAGCATTATATTTAATAGTTTATAGCGTTCCTCGACAAATGGCCTATCCAACACAAAAAAAATTTTCAAATTGAACTATTAGTTCCTGAGATTGACGCGTTCTAACAAACAAACAAACTCGTTCAGTTTCATATAATAGTATTAGATTTATGATAAGATCAGCCGTCCTCTATCTTTAAGTAAAAAGAAAAATAGAATACTCACAATTCTTCTATACACAGTGACATTTTTATCAAACAATGAAAGTCAATTTCTCAGACTAACTTAAAAATTAGTTCGTTCATGTTTCCGACAATACGAGTGGCTTGGTCATAATAGCATGTACATTTTTGAGTCACACAGCCCCAAGGGAGTCTTACATTTTTCTCTTATGCACTGTAGAAATGAATGTTTAGGAAAATGCATTGTAAACTCGGTATGTTCTTTAGAATAAATTATGCAGATTATTGTTGCTTTTACTGCCGTGCCATTTCGTGTTTCATTGCAAATTATACAAGGAAAAAATACTGAATTGTATCTCAACAGTTTTAAATTGTTGAAACTTTAGTGTAAGGTCGGCTTACGAAAAGTTATTTAATAAAAATATTCTTGGCAAATTCTAGAATGGAATTTAGACGAGCAAAAATTGTATCTATCGGATATTGAAATAGATGAAAGTTCAATTATTTGGTAGTCGAGAAGTTAGAGAAAAATTGGTTGCTTTATCAATTTTGTAAATAAAATCTAATTTTTAATGAAGATTAAGCAGTAAAAACAAATACTGCCTCGATGGCCTAGTGGTCACAAGTGCGACTGCCGGGCAAGAGGTCTCGGGTTCGATTCCCGGTCGGGCAAAGTATTACTGGTTTTTAAAAATAAATCTCAGTAGTAGCACGGAGTCTGGAAATGTGCCCGGTATATGGCAATAGGCTCACTTACATGGGACTCATAACATAAATAGTGAAAAGAGGGTGCTACTTCTGTGTGCACCTCTGCCTACCCCTTTGGGGATAAAAGGCGTGATGTTGTGTTATCAAGCAATCGATATCGAGAAGAATATGCTTTTCAACGTTTTCTAATTTAAAAGTTGCACTTCTGAAGCGTGTTTGATGAAAGTTGTTGGCAGCACAGTGTTTGTGACTAATAAACTTTAATGGCTGATTCAAAAAGTCAATTAAAACTTTGTCACAGTCAGTCACATGACGTGTAAGCTAATGTTTTTTTTTATTCTGTCTAATCTAAGGTAATTCGTGATAATGTAAGTTCTTGGTAAATTCAAATGTTTCTAAAACGTTGTAGCGGGTTGTGTTCTCGTTTTACGTAGATTGTGCTACCCACGTAATTATGTATCGTCCTTCAACTGTAAAATAATTGGGAATCCTCTCTTTATAATTGTAATTTACACCAGAGTACCAGTTTGTTCCTATGAGCTGCTTTCAGCGGCGTATTCTTGGGAGTCGGGGTATTTCAAACCGGCTACACAATTTGACAATGCGTAGCGATGTAGCTGCACTGTGCATCTTCTGTACTGTGCTGTGCATCACTGTGCTTATACTATACCCAGGAAGTGATCCGAAAGCTCCAAATTATATGGTCTGATACCTACCGCGTCTTCGCCAACGTTCCACGTTTTTCATTCCCATTACATACGTTGGCAGGCCACAACTGTGCGCTTTTCCCGGAAAATTCTGCCTTGACCAGCTAAACTGTGGAATGATCTGACGTTGGCGGAATTTCCCAACCAATACTACCTTCAAACCTTCAAGAAAAGAGCGTATTCCATTTTAAAAGGCCGGTAATGCACCTGTGTCTTCTCTGGTGATGTGGATATCCATGGACGATGCTTACCATCAGGTAATCCATCTGATCGTTTGCCTCATAATTCATAAAAAGAAATTGGGGTAGTGCAACAATAAGTTAACTATAAAACGTCACGTCTAGGAAATACGTTGTGTTATGAACAGTTAAAAGCATTTGAAAAATATTGCATTAATAAAACAGCCTCGTTGTCCGAGTAATCGCAAGTGCGACTCGGCAAGGGGTATCGGGTTCGATTTCCGGGTCGGGCAAAGTATTACTGGGTTTTTTATATATTCTCTCTGTCTGGAATTGAGCCCGGTATATGGCAATAGGCTCACCCCCTATTACATGGGACTCATAACATAAATAGTGAAAAGTGGGTGTTACATTGTACAGTGGCATAATGTACACCTCTGCCTACCCCTTCGGGGATAAAAGGCCTGATGTTATGGTTTGTTATGCATTAATAAGTAATGAAAATTCATTAAACAAATAAAACAACTCACAACTCATAAAAATGCTAATTTATACTCACGCTTACAATACTATGAAGTCATGATTCTCTTGAAATTACCCTTTCTTAGAATTAAAATGGTAATCAAAAGTTTTTCTTGCATGAAGCTATGATTCATTCAGCATTAGCACATGACTCTCATTTTCTAGAAATATTTTTCATGAGTCAACATTAAGTAAAGCTTTTGTTAATACTGAGTCACTGCAATATTTACATTATCTTGAATTCATATATAATACATAACATCACGCCTTTTATCCCTGAAGGGGTAGGCAGAGGTGTACATAATGCCACTATACAATATAACACCCACTTTTCACGATTAATGTTATGAGTCCCATGTAATAGGGGATGAGCCATATAACGGGCACCATTCCAGACTCTGTGCTACTACTGAGATTTTTTTTAAAAACCCAGTAATACTTTGCCCTCCCGGGAATCTAACCCCAGACCTCTTCCCCGGCAGTCGCACTTGCGGCCAACGAGGAAATCTTGAATTCATTTATGTGCATTATAAGATAAATTCAGAGAAAAAAAAGGTGATTAACATAAAAACATGAACTTTAGTTTCGAATAAGTTTAATAATGACTACTTATACTCATGTGACGTCATCTTAGAAAATATTATTTTTTTAAAAAACTTAATAGGATCTAAAAGATTGAACAAGCTACTACAATATTACAGAAAATCTGCTCTTTAATAGATACATCTATTAAATCACATCATTATACCAAGCTAAGACTTTCCACTCAGGTTACCGGTACAGTTGGGTTGCAACAGGTCAAATACGATTCCTGTTCTTCTGTTACTGTTGTGCAAAAATAACAGTTCTCAATACCTATTACTAACAAACAGCTATTGACAACACATCACGCCCTTCTTCTCTCCTACCAAATTTATATTTTTTGTGCCCGTCAGGGTCCGTAATTGTTACTAGGTATATTGTGTTTGTTAACCATCTGTATGCGTACACTATGGATATAATACATACTTGATTATTTTATACTCTTTGGTATATCTCTTAATTCCTTTTAAAACAGGTAATGTCAAAATAAAAGATTTGTTATTACACTGTAATAATGATTTGAGCTGTGATTGTGAGAATAACTGTTATCGGTAATACATGTTATTTGTACCTGTGACGACAATGATATTATAAAGAAGATACGCTACGTTCATTCATACTAAGCGGCGTCCAAAAATTGTTGCGTTCTTATTACAAATGTACTTAAATGTCATTTTCAACTAAGTGCGACAGATAATACGGAAAGTATGGTACAGAAAGAGATAGCCATTATAAAATTACGACAATTATTGTCTGAATTCGTTCGCAACAATTTTTGCGTGCCAGTGCGATATCTACCTCTTTTTATTATTTATAATATCATTGTGTGACGATAAATGCTCCTCGCGTCCAGAGATCAAGTCACCTGAGTCGTTCGAGACATTCTTGTTTATGACAAATCGTTCATAAATAATTCAATAGGACATGAGATTTCTAGAGTAAACAAACGTTTACAAGGATACTAAAGACTTGCTTTTTTATTATGACATCCATTGTTCTAGTACTTTTGCGAGAAAGACTTTTTATGTATTACGATTTTAGGAATATTCTATTCAAGGTTTTGTGTTATATTATTTTCTGTTCATGTAATAATGAGTTTTGTTTTCTTATGTAACTAAAATACCAGCGTTCTATGTTCTATTAAGCTTAGGTAAAGACATCGATAATTTTACATACAATTTTATTATAGTCCTTAATTATATATAATTATGTTATTGTATAATTATAGACTATTGTAGGTTGAGGATTGATTTCAATTATTTTCGTTATTGTTACTGTAACGATAGTGGTTGGTTAGCCAAGACTTTTATACCACTCAGTATCATTTCACTTGCAAACTTCCCAATAAGTTAATGTTCCCTACAAATTACCTTCTCCTTTTTTTTTGGGCGGGGAAAATCAGCTAATATCTTCTCCCGCCTTGGGTTAGGCGAGAGGAAGAGTCAGACTCTTACTTCCTAAATTACAATTAAAAACCTCCTCGTTCCTACTCCTGTTCTTCGAGCCGGAGGCCCGGCAACCCGTTAGGCCTTCTGCAGTTTCGTCATCAGCATCTCTAACATATTCACACTACATAGCCCTATTGGGCTCCATCTGTGGTGGTCTGATGACTCTTTGAGTTACACGCCATTATTACCTTCTACTTAGGACCATAATTGGGCTTCAAACGCTAACGTTTGATGTAAGCCGGTGGTATAATTACTTAAGTACT